TTTCTATCTTCAGTACTACCTCAAGAGGCCTGTGAAAACCACTGACCGTGGCAGTGGTCTTAGCCCCACATTTGCTGGGTTGTCTCAGGCCCCGCATATCGTAGGGAAGGCCGAGGGAACAGTATGTGCTGGTGTTCAAACCGAAGCATTCCTGGCTCCAAACCCCGCTTGCTCTGCCACTGATCTATGCCAGCCCTCCAACTAGAATTAGAGCTGGCTGACAGTCCTTCCTCTACCATTCATTCACTAGTTGTGTGGCCAAGTTACTCAGCTTCTCTTAAGCCTGTTTTTGGTGGTTGATGAGGACAAATCACAATTCCCACCTGACAAACAACAGAAGCATTTGCACAAATGTTAATCCCTTATCCCTCAGCTCCTAAGTTAAGACAGATTCTTATGTTTTCTTAAGCTTCAGATCCATACTGAGGGCAGGGCACAGGAGAGGTGGTCAAGCCGAAGTTCTTGGACCCCATCCCAGAGTGACTCCAGGGTAGGAGAGCGGTTCAGAAATCTACACGTTGGACCTGTCCCCAGGAAATTCAGTTGCCTCACAGTTCTCCTGCCTGACTTTCTGCATAACTCTGCATAGTGCTTGAAATCTAAGCAGACAGACCAGTGGTGGGTGAGCTGCCTTTTCAAATGTTTCAGCCCTTCCTACACTGGCCTCCAGCTGGGTCTGTGCCTCCTCCCTTTGCCCCTCACCCAATCTCTATCTCCCCACCCGTCCCAACCGCCTCCCCTTCCTCTCTTCTTACCTCCTAGCCTCCTCTCCACCTCCCTGCGGCACTGGCACTGTCCCAGGAGCTCAGCCCACATTCCTACCCACCAGCCATTTCTCTGCCAGTCTCTTCACCTGCAATGCTCTTTCCTCTATCCACCTGGTAGGCTCAGATACAAGTTGCCTCGTCCAGAATAACCTTCAAGCCCTCTTCTCTAGCACCATGGCATGTTGCATGTGCCTTTATTACTGCTCAAATGAAATGGTAATGTGAGGGGGTTTTTTTTGTTTTGTTTTGTTTTTTCTGGCTGGAGACTACCTGGTGGACTCACCACCCATGAATGGTGGCGGTGTGCACCAGAGCAAGATGAAGAGAGGAAGACAAGCCCTTGACTTTGCAGAGGAGCCAAGAGGCCTGGGAAGTAAAAGACCAGGAGATGGGGGTCCCTGAAAAGGCAGACAAGAGATTACTATGTGGGGGTTCCCACAGCTTTTTCAGACAGCGGCTGTGCGAAAATTCATTGGAAGAACTGAGGAATGTTTCTGCCTCCATTTGGGGGGGGGGGCATGCTTGTGTCAAGACACTGATGCTCTTGCTGAGCTATTTTAACAAGAAACACCATTCTTTTGCCTAGGAAAAGGGATTTCCCTAGAAAATTCCTTACTTTCCACCTTGTTTAACACCAAGAGAATACTTTGCCTCTATGTCCTTATCTCTAACTTCCTCCTTGATGATCAACCATACTGAATGCACTCAGATTCATCTAGTCTAAAACCAGGAAGAGGTGGTTCTCACTCCTAGAAAGAGAATTACTGAAGGGGCAACCCCCACACACTCAAGTGCCGTATCTCCCAACAGCTGGTTTTATAAATAGAAACAAGCACTGGGACCCTGACCTTCCCAGGAAGACCAATGGAGCCCCTGACCCAGATCAGTGGAGCTTGCTTCCAAGAACTGTGCTGTTCCTAGACCAGCCCTGTAGATACTCCTTAAGTTCCCCTGGACCTGCAGGTAGTACCTCTCCACCCGGGCACTCACCCCACACTCAGGCTCTAAGCTCCCATTTGACCAAAGCCTGCAGGTATGAAGTATCGGAAGCAAAAGACACCACCCCCCCCCAACACACACATACTTTTGACCTTTTGTTCTGAGTCCATCTGAAAGAGAAATGTCAACTCTATCAAGGAAAGCAAACGAAGAATACCTGGCTAGATGAGAATATCCGGACCCTTGAACTTCGCACCTTAGGGCTGATAGGTTACAGGAGAAAGCCCTGGGGACCTAAAGGCTCCCTTGGTAAAAGGTGTGATCAAAACACGTGTGCTTTTCCCCAGAGCCGCCAGGCGGGAAGCACCACCCGCGCTGATGCCCTCAGGGAGGCAAAACTAGGGTAGGCTATTGGTCCGATTTTACAAGTGGGAGCCTTCCCACAGGAGGCCAAGAGACAGTCGCAAAGTTACACAGACGGTGCTGTGGCCAGGCGAGGTCAGGAACCCAGAAGCCAGGATCTAGACTGACACAGATGCTGCTGGAGGCGGACAGGAGGACAGGTTCCGCCCGATGCTGGTGACCTCGCCTAGTGGCCCCACCTCTTCGCGCGCACCTGGGGTCGTAGAGTTGCGAGCCTTCCAGATCGCTCACCTGCTCGAGGTTTGGCAATTTGGGCTTGCGGGAGCGCTGGCCCCGCCCCCACGGCTCCTTCGCCTTACGATTGGCTCCGCGGGCTAGGGGCGGGGCCGGGCGTCTAACCGACGTGATTGCGTCAGGCGCCGCGAGAGTCGTTTCCTGTTGTCAGTGGCGGAGAGGCCGCAGTGTCGGGTCGGAGGCTGAGAGGCTGCTGCGGCCGGGAGTGCTCCTCGCCTCCTCCCCGCTCCCTCTGGTGAGTTGGCGGTCGGGGGCGAGGTGGGCGAGAACGGGCGCCGGGGCCGAGACGCGAACGGGCGGTGGGCCACCAGCTCTGTCCGTGATCCCAAACCCCTTGTTGCCTTGAGACTGCCCTGCTTCAGAGCCCTTTCCCTTCCCGGTGTGAGCCCCGCACCCCACCCCACTCGGACCCGAACCTTCAGCCCGCACAGCCACTGCTGACCGGTCCCCTCCATCTTCTCCTGCCCGGGACGGAGCCCAGGCCTTACCCCCACCCCCTCACCACTGGTGTTGCGTAAATGCGGTCACACTCTTGACCCCCACAGTAGCCCAGTTCCATCCCCCAGCGCAGCCACATCCCTCCGCTTCCCTCACCCCCTTTGACAGCCGCAGTGTTCCACGCTAACCTCCTCTGATCCCCACCATTCTGGTTTCCCCCTTTTCTGGCTCCGCTTTCTTATCCCAATCTCCCTGCTCAGCCCCCCAAGTTCTGCTCAGCGGTAACATCCCATCTCCACCCACCCTCATTTAATACCTACCACAAAAGCAGACGCTCTGTTGAGCTCACCCCCTCTTCTTAATAACTCTGACCTCAGCCCTATACTAAGTTTTATATGTATTTTCGTGTCCTCACAGACTCAACCCCTAACTTCAGAGCCCACCACATCCTTTCTTATCACCTCCAGCCATCCTGAGGACCCCTCATCCCTAAGTCTTGGCTAAACTGCCCCCAACTCTTGCCTCCGCAGTTACCTCCCCTACCCAGTGTTACTAAAATGAGGTCTCCTTGTCCCCATTTCTTCAGCCCAGCTCTGCACCCATTCTTCCCTTGACGTGGTTCCCATTTGATCTGAGAACTTAGAGCAGTCCCCTGCCAACCCCACCTGCTTCCCCTCAACAGCCAAATCAGGGTGCTTTCTCAGAGCTGGGCAGTTGCCGAGCAGCTGCAGGGTGCAGGGCCTCCGATGGTAAATAAGAAATAAGTGTGGAGGAGGGGAGATCCACCGCCTGTGGTTCAAGGGTTTTTCCTGGATGTCTGGTCCCCTGTACCTGTTGTCCTCAAGGATTGTGTTTTTAGCATTCATATTACATTACTTGTGTTGGCTGCTGGAATGGTAGGTATCATCGGAATATGTGGAAGGTGAGGGATGGCTGCTCAATCAGACTGGGACAGTGGAGACTTACCACTTCCTTTTGGATGGTAATCTGTAGAAACTCAGAGGCTTCCACTGTGTGGGCTTGGCTCTGGTCACAGAACCACGTCCATAAGTGTTGTCCTGGCACTTAGAAGGGACCCTCACGTAGTGCTCCCCGCCAGCCAGAGCTGATTGCAGATTCGTCCCAATACCGGACACAGGGAAACAGTACCAGAGGTGATGTTACATGTTGTGAAGAGTGTAGGTGAGTGGGTCCTGGGGAGGCTGAAGAACTAGGTGAATTCAGAGGCTGTTGAATTGCTACCTCTTTGCCAGTACTGAGTCATTGATTTTTGACCATTTTGATGACCCATGAACTCAAAGAGCCAAGTTATCTCAGTAGCTAGACCTTCTTGAGACACCCAGGCCCCATTGTTAGTGTTTATGATCTCCTGGGCTTTTTGGGTGCACATCCCCTCTTAGTTCTGGTGACCAGACTCCAAAGGATTGGCCGTTTTGCAGCAATTGTAAGGGGCCCCAAAGAGGACCCATTGTCTTTGCTTGACATTTATAGTCTCGCTTCTTTGAAAATTGAATTCCCTTCTACCTTCAGTAAGGTGTGATATATCTACAGGGTTCACAGCCTATTGGCAGCTTGGTATGATGGACGGAATTCCACAGGGGCCCTCCCACTGAAAAGTCGTATACCCCAAATTCTTACAGTCTGGAGTGGAGATACCTGCCCTGAGCCTTCTTATTTTACTCATCTGTTCATTCAGCAAGTATATTTTGAGCACCACTGTGGGCCTTGCACTGTTCTCAGCACTAGAAATGCAATGGTGAATGAGTTGGGGCAAAGTTTCTGCTTTCATTCATTCAGAGTTTGGTCCCTGCTGGAATCCTAAGGGATGTGGGACAAGAATATGGGGGTGACGTGGGGTGCCTAAGTAGTTCAGTTGGCTGAGTGTCAGACTCTTGGTTTCAGCTCAGAACATGATTTCATGGACCATGAGATTGAGCCCCCCACTGGGCTCCATGCTGGCCATGGAGCCTGCTTAAGATTCTGTCTGTCTCTCCCTCTGCCCCTCCTCCCACTCATGTGCGTTCTCTTCCTCTCTTGAAAATAAATAAATAAATCTTAAAAAAAAAAAAAAAGAATATGGGGAAAATGTGTGTTGTAGGGGAGGAGGAGGGAGGGAGGAAAGAAAGATACCCAGTGTTCATACACTTCACATTTCTGGCCTCACCCACTAGCCTTTAGATCGAGAATCACAGCTAGAAGTTTCTTGCCCTCCAGCTGGTATTCATTTGCTTCAAAGGCCTAGTCGCCTTCACCCCCAGACACACACACCCATCCCACCCTTCACAGGGCCCTTGTCCAGAACTCCCAAGTTTCTTCAGGTAGAGGGAGGTGCTGTTCCCTCACTCAGCACTCACATGTCTGGAGGATCAGCTGCCTTTCTGAATCAGAAGATAACTCTGTCACTCGTTTCCGACTGAAAACCCTGACGCATCACCTGGGGCAGCAGCTGGAGGGCTTAAACACCAGCCTGTTGTTCTGCATAGCCAGGTGCAGGATCGGATTCAGGCTGTAGAGACCGAGGCTGTCACGGATGGCGGGGAAGTCTCCAAGAAGAGGAGGTTGCTGTTTACTGGTGAATGGAGTGTTTCGAAAGCAGTGAAGCCAGGTCATCCATTTCTTCTTTTAATGTAAGTCTCGTCTGAGCCCTTGTCTTCTTTTCATTCTTCCTTCGTCTCTGGAGGAAGTGAGATTGGAAGTATATAGAAGGGCGTATAACAAAGAAAATCAACCAGAATGTTTCCCTCCTGTGCGTTGGAACATTTAGGAAAGGACAGTTCTGAAACCTAGCTACCATGGAAAGAATCTGTGCTGCAGAGGGACTTAGGGAGTATCTTCAGGGCTGGCCTGGGAGCAGGACAATTCTTGGAAGCAAGCTCCACTGATCTGGGCCAGGGGCTCCACTGGCCTTTCTAGGAGGGTTGGGGTCCCAGTACCTGTTTCCATTTGTAAAACCAGCTGTTGGGAGATGTGGCACCTGAGTGTGTGGGGCCTGTCCCTTCAGTATGCTACGGATCTGGTGGGCAAGGTTGTTTCTTGTTTGTTGGCTTTCTTTGATAAAATGGAGCTTCTGAGTCCCCCGGAACAGTCTGAGTAATAAGTCTGCCTACAACTCTTTGAACCAAGAACTCAGAGGCACAGGACTTGAATGAGGAAACCAGAGAATTCTGTCCCTTACCTGAGGCCCATTTCTACTGAGCCTCAGTTTTCTCCTCTGTAAAATGGGGGATAATCATCCTCCTCTTACAGGATTGTTTTAAGAATTAAATGAGATTAGAGAATGAGATCCTGTGCCAGGGTGAATCAATACTAAAGGGCAGAGGTAGACTTAGGATGGCTTGGAGTTTCCTAAAGGTAGACACCACTCACCCTTTTCTGCTCAACTGTGCCTATAATGTTTGAGGCTCTCTATTTGTTCTCCTCAGCCTGGGTCTCCCGAAGAGACACCCCTCTTTGGTTTGGTTCTTGGTGTCAGTGAAGACTGTTCTGAGGATAGGAAGTGAAGCCAGTCCCATAGGATGAGAGATTGGGGGTCTGGGCCTGCCAGGAGCCTGCTGGAGTGCTGACCTAGCTGTCAGGAGACCCAAATCCCAGAGATCTAGATTGTCATGTTCCTGCCTCTGAGCCGGTTTTCTGCCTCCCTGAGGCATTGGGGGACAGGCAGGCCTAGGTAGGGTGCTTTGGCTCCTTGCAAAGAAAAGTGTGCCCATAACTTTGGCCTGATCCCAAAGTCTCATCCTATTTTGTGAATTGTCAAGTGGCTCTTCTCCTGGATTTCTCTGCACTGTTGTCATTTTGTGGGTTTTCTGTCACTTTGTTTTAGGCCACAGTTGTCTCCTATCCGGCCCTGCTCTGACCTCTCAGTGTCCATTGACTTTTTTTTTTTTTTTTTTTTGGCCAGAGCACCCACTCACTGATAAGCCTTCCTCCCTCCGATGAATACTCTATTATTTTGGCTTAATTCTTTAATGAGGCCTTAATGGACCTACTATTCTGATTGTTGCCATCCAAGTCCTAAGGCTGGCCAGGAGAAGGGCAGTTTGGGAGCTTGAGGTTCTTTCTGGAACAACAGGCCTAAAAGGAGGCCTTAGGCCTCTGGAATTGCTGAAAGGGATTGGATGCCAGGGTCTTGGGACCAGAGAACCTGGACTTGACCTTCAGGGCTGCATAGGATAGGCTTGAAGGAACCTTACCTCCAGGATCAGGCACAATTTCAGGAGGGACTCTGACTGCAGCCCATCCCCTGTTCCCATCGCCCTGTGGCCAGAGCATGGAGCTGGTCGCAGAGGAGGGTTCTGAGAACCTCAGGCATTAGGAGCCAGGAACATGGTGACAGGAGAGGTGGTCAAACGGGCTGTGGCCAGGGACCAGCATTCTTTCTGGCGGTCTGTCGTGCTGTGACCAGAGCTGGTGCTGCAGGAGCCATCCCCCCACACACAGACCTCCCTCCCTCTGCATGCCCTTCCTTAGGAAGCTTGGCTCTGGGTCCTGTTTACCCTCACCAGCTCCAGAGGCCAGGGCTTAAGTCAGAGCATCTAATGTCATTTAGGGCCACCCTGCTGTTCTCTGTAAACCTTTTCTGCCTGACCTTGACACCCCCTTGCACCCCCTCACCTGGGCCCTTAGCTAAAGAGCCCTCTCCTAAACCTTCCCCTGCTCCCTCCCCACCTACCCCTTAGCCCTAGCTCACACTGGCCTCTTCCAGAAGGGTTGAGAGAAGGGTAGTCCTAGTGGGAGGTGGTGGAGTCTGCCACTTATCAGCCCTGGAATCTAAGGAAGTTCCTTGACCTGGGTCAGCTTCTATTTCTTATCTGTTAGATCAGGATAATAAAACAGCCCTCCCAGGGTGATTAGGAGGAACGCAGGAAGCAGTATATGGAAAAAGTACAAAATCCATTTAGCGGGCCTCAGCTTTATTAACTTCTTTGGACCAGGAGTTTTTGAGAACAGGGACAGCAATGATCTAGTTTTGGGTGTCCCCTCATGCTCAGCTGTGTGGTCACTAGAGGTCTGTTTAGATGGGAAGGTGCCCACCCCATACTGGTCCGTCCAAGTGGCTAGGGTGGGGTCAGGCCAGGCAGCAGCCCCCTTCAGGCTCAGGTGGAAGCCCTCCCACCTCAGCCCCCCTCAGGAGGAAGCCAGTGCCCTGAGGGATTTACTTCAGCTACTCTAACAAGCGCATTCACGCCCTGGCAGTCTCCTGGCAGTCTTCGCCTGTAAGTTTGGATGGCCACAAAGACTAGGGTTGTAGATACTATTCCTCCTTAGTACCTTCAGGCCCTGTGCTAGGCATTTTCCACATTCTTTTCTCCCGTCTGAGAGGTCTGATACGGTGCCCCAGCATGCTTAGCTGGTTAGCAGCAAATCGAGAGTCAAGCCCGTCTCCCTTTAGACATGTCCCTGTGCTTCTCCAGCTTAGCCTAAGGAGAAGCAGATGTGTAGTGAGAGAGCCCTCCCTCTGGAAGCTGTTTCAGTTGTCACTGTCACTGTTGAGCTGGCAGACACCAGACTGGGACGGGAGTTAGAGGGGGCAGTTGTAGGGCCCAGGCCATCAGTGTGAATTGTGAGCGCCTGCTTCCTGGCCATGTGGGCCCTTGACACCTCCTTGCCCCCTTAGCTCTGTGTCTAAATCAGCCTTATATGCCCTGCTTTTTGTGCCAGTACTGGGTGTGGAATCCGGAGCCATTTCTGGGCACTGCTTGGGCCAGACCCACCCATGGCATACAGGACTCTGCACCTCCTGAGATCTGAGCCCACAGATTTGTTTTCCTTCCTCCTTTCCTTCCTTAAAATCCACTCTTAGCTTTTCCTTCTATATTCAAGTGCCCTCCCATTGTAGTTTAAGGAAGAGGGGCTGACCTCCTGCTGCCTGCTGGGGGCAGAGGGCGAGTTGGCTGGGGCTGGTGAGCTGGAACTTGCTCAGCTGGCCGCCATCTGTCTCTGCAGGTGTCATGTGATTCTCCGAGGGAGCTGCTGTGTGAGTGGAAATGCTCTCAGTGGTGGAGAATGGACTGGATCCCCGGGCTGCCATCCCGGTAGGCTGCAGCGGCGGGCGGGGGGTGGGGCGGGTACTGCTGAAGGGTGGGGAAGGGTGCACAGGACAGCCATTTCATTGATTTTTCAATGAACAAGGACTGCCCGGAAAGTGAGGCCTTGGGTTGAGAAAAAGTGATAGCATAAGCAGGCTCTGAGAAGATCCTGGCCTTTCTAGAATATCTTATTGGTGATAAAATGGGAATTTACAAAAAACGATGGTCATTTAATATAGGCTACCTAAAGACCAAGGATTTCTCCAAAGAAGGCATACATATGACCCACAAGTACATGAAGAGATGCCTAACATCATTAGACATTAGGCAAATGCATTAAAAATCACGAGAGACTTCTTTGCACCCTCTGGGATGGCTAGAATCAAAATGACGTAAGACTAAGTGGTGGCCCAGTTCCACTGCTCAGTGCGTACCCAGGAGACCTGAAAACTTACGTCCGCATAAATACTTGTGCATGAATGTTCATAGCAGCATTATAGCCCCCAAGTGGGAACAACCCAGATGTCTATTAATCGATGAATGGATAAATAAAATGTGGGGTGTCCACGCAGTGAAACATGATTTGGCAATAGAAAGGAATGAAGTCCCAATACATGGTGACAGTGTAGACAGACCTTGGAAACATGCCAACTAAAAGAAGCCAGACACAGAAGGCTGCCGCCTGTGTGACTCCATGTATCCAGAATGTTCAGAATGGGTGAATCGTCAAGACAGAAAGTAGACGAGTGGGTGCTCGGGGCCGGGGAAGCAGCGAGTAGGGAGTGACTGCTGATGGGCACAGTGTGTCTTTCTGAAGCAGTGAACATGTTCTAAAATGAGGTAGTGGCGTTAGTTTCACAACTCTGTGAATGTACCCAAAACCACTGAACTGTGTACTTTCAATGAGTAAATTTTATGCTATGTAAATTAGGTCTCATTAAAGCTGTTGTTAAAAAAAAAAAAAAAAAGAACATTCAACTCTTCAGAGAACATTAAAATGAACTGTTTGGGCTAAAATAAAAACAGCAAAATATTTATCCGTAATCCTATCAGCTAACGATTCAAACCAGTTTTTCTGCATTCCCTTCTAGTCCTTTTCCACACACTTAGGTAACTTTGACACGCTCATATTATGACCAGACTATCCTTATTATTTCCAAACGATTCAATGTATATGTATTTTATAATTTACTTGCTGAACATTTAACTGAGTACCTACATGTGCCCGGCACCGTGCCAAGTGTCAAGGACCCAAGGATGAATAAAAGACCAGTCCTGCCCTCCGGGTAATCCCCGCAGTGCCGTAGTTCAGGAAGTATGCTTTCTGTTTAACGGTGAGGACGTTAAGCTCAGCGAGGTTAAGTGAAATGTCTGGGGTGACCCCGCTGGTGACCAACCGAGCTGACACTCACCTGAGCCTCTGACTGCCCAGTTGGGATCTTTCTCAGTGTAGACTGTGATCCCTTTTTCTTGTTCAAAAGTAGCACTTGTTGCTTCTTGGTGGAATCGTAGTCAGGCGAGTGAGGTAGACGGCTTCCCCGCTGCGCTTGGTGGGTTCCCCGAGCTCGCATAGCTGTAATGTGATGGAACCAGTATTTAAACACGAGATTTATATATGGATGTCAGTGCACTGAAATTCAGTTTCTTTTGTCGTTGTTTTCATTCGAAGTTCAGTTTAAAAAACAAAACAAAACCAAAACATCAGTACCGCTGTGCTCTGGCTTTGTTTTGTATAATTAGCTTGTGTGAGCTTTGCTGTATAGACACACACATAGATGTGTGTGCCTGCGTGGGTGCTTGTGTGTGTGTGTGTGTGTGTGTGTGTGTGTGTGTGTGGTGAGAAGCAGTCCCACTGCAGGATCTCCTAAAGGGTGTGTTACGTCTGTCGCTGACCAGGTGATCAAGAAGAAGCTGGTGGGATCGGTGAAGGCGCTGCAGAAGCAGTACGTGTCCTCGGACACGGCGGTCACTAGCGAAGACGGAGATGCCAATGCCATGTGCAGCGCCCTGGAGGCCGTATTTATCCACGGACTGCATGCCAAGCACATCCGAGTCGAGGCCGGAGGGAAAAGGAAGAAAAGCGCCCACCAGAAGCCTCTTCCTCAGCCCGTCTTCTGGCCCCTCCTGAAAGCTGTCACTCACAAGTGAGATGAGCTGGGGAGGTTTTGCTGTGGGGAGGACACGGGACTCTCCCTCGTCAGCTGTGCGGGAAAGCACCAGAGCCAGTCTGTTCTAGAACAGGGATGGGTGAGATAGGGGTTATTGTTAGACCAAGCCTCAAGGGCCCCTCAGCCTTCAGCCATGGCTGGCCGCCTGTAGCCGGAGCCGCTGTTACCACACCGTGGCAAACTGAGGTGGTTGTAACAGAGAGAGTGTGGCCTGCAAGGCCTATCATCTTTCCTATGTGGCCTTTTACAAAAGAAGTTTGCTAACCCTGCCTCAGGGGGTTTGACCATCTATATTGCTAAATCTTCTAACAAGGGATGGCCTTTGTTTTTTTCAAAAAACGTGGAATCCAGACCGTCTGACTGTTCACCCTGGGACGGCTGTCTCCGTGGCCCTGCTGAGGACAGCCTGGGCTGTGGAGCCGGGAGCTGACGCTGGGCCTTGAAGGGCTGCTTAGTGCCACCTTTGGCCCGAGGTGTCTTGTGGGTCTCTGTCTTCCTTTTCCTGATGACTGCCACTGCCCTGTCTCAGGTTCTTAACCACACTCCTGGGTGACAGTGGCTTTCTGATTGTCCTCATCTTATTCTGTCTGTCTTTAGCCCAGTTGGCTGGGCCGCACTCACTGAGCTGAAACTAAGCAGAGTGCATTTGCTGGTCCCACGAGACGGGCTGCGCTCCCACAGGCGAGAAGTGCAGGGCACTGTGGAAGTCAGGGGAGGGGTGTTTTGAGCAGATCAAGGATTCAGGAACTCCGTTTGCTATATGTGGGATCTGATCTTATCCAGAACGGCCCACCAAGACATCTACATAACTGTGGTCAAGTCACTTCCCTGTGCAAAAACCCTCAGGCTCTCAGATCTGGAGTGTGATTCACTCAGTGGGGGCCCCAGAATCTGTATCTTGACCAGGTTCCTGGGTGATTCTGATGCACAGACAGGCGTGGGGACCACTGCCCCACTTTGCCTCACCCATTGGATACTTAAGACCCTACCTTACCTGGCTTTGCAGCCCAATCGCCCGCTCCTCCTCCCGGTGCTGTAATCGGAGTGCTCGCCACTCCTGTTACACAGCTGTTGCCTTCCTGCCCTTGGTGCCTTTTTTCTCTCGGTCCTCTGTGCCTAGAAGGTTCCCCTTCCATTTTCACCTCTTGAAATCCCTTAATAGCCCAGCTCCGATACTGCCTTTTCTATGGCATTTCTCTTAGTGAGACCCGGTAATGATTGTGTACTCCCACCCCAGCTCTGCTGACAACAGGCTTCATGTGCCCCTGAAAGGTGGTCACCTGGATTGAGGACAGGACCATGTCTTTACCCTGTGTCTCTGGGCTCTGAAGAGACCTTGCACTGAGGGACTCATCAGATGTGTGCTAGATGAGCATGTGATGTCAGGGGCCCCCGAGTAGCCGTAATGAAAATGGCAATTATCCTTCATGACAGCAACCTCAAAAAGTTGGGGGTTACAGCTTAATATTTCTAAATTCCCCATAAAGCACTGTTATCCAAGATTTTTTCAAGCCTCTGTATATGGGCAGTTGTTATGACGGGCTCTTGCTAACCAGTGGCTAAAACAAGACTGCAGTGATTGGAAATCCTTTCTTGAAACAAGCCTGTCCTCCCATCCCCAGACACATCATCTCGGAGCTGGAGCACCTGATCTTTGTGAGCACAGACGTGGGCCGCTGCCGGGCCTGGCTGCGGCTGGCCCTCAACGACGGCCTGATGGAGTGTTACCTGAAGCTGCTCCTCCAGGAGCCGGCCCACCTGTGCGAGTACTATCAGCCCACGGCGCTGCTTCGAGACGCCGAGGAGGGGGAGTTCCTCCTCAGCTTCCTGCAGGGACTGACATCCTTATCCTTCGAGCTCTCCTACAAGTCCGCCATCCTAAACGAGTGGACGCTTACCCCGCTGGCTCTCTCTGGGCTTTGTCCGCTCTCTGATCTCGACCCCCTCACTACCTCTGGGACAGAACTACAGCGGAAAGAGTCTCTGGATTCAATTTCCCATTCCTCGGGCTCGGAGGACATCGAAGTCCAGCACTCAGGACACAAGATCCGACGGAACAGGAAGCTCACAGCCTCCTCCCTCAGCCTGGACACGGCCAGTTCATCCCAGCTGTCTTGCAGCCTAAACTCTGAAAGCTGCCTGCTCCAAGAGAACGGCTCCAGGAGTCCAGACCGTTCTGAGGAGCCTATGTCCTACGACTCAGACGTGGGGACAGCAAATGCTGAGGATTCAGACCTGTCTCTGCAAGAGTGAGTGCTCCTCCCCCCCACCCCTTCCCCCTCTCTCTTCCTTCCTTCCTCCTCTTCCTCTTTCAAGTCTCCCTTCCCATAGCATGTGATTGCCTGTCACTGAGCACTGACCACTATAGGGGCATACAGAAAGACAAAGGGGACATCCTCTCTCTTCCTCAGGGACTGGAGTTGCTGGGACCTGTAACTGGAGGCCACATGGGGCAGTGAGGAGAACGGCTCTAAGTAGGGCTCAGAGCTGGACCAGGCTCCATGCAGCGCTGCCCCAGGGTGAACTTCAGCAGGTGACCTCCTCTCTCTGAGGCGCAGTGTAAAATATCATTGCCTCTAGAGGGAAGGAGACTCACGTTTCAGGGTTACACGTACAACTTCCAAAAACCGCAGGGAAGCACAGTGGGTAAGGGTGCTCCTCTGTGACCTCCCAGAAGGCCTCGCAAAGACGCAGACCCTGAACTGGAGGAGATGGTAGACAAAAGGGGCCAAGCAGATGTATGGAGGGAAGAGTCCAAGGAACAATGAACTTGACTAGAGGAGGGAGCCTGGCCAGAGCCTTCTCTTTTAAAAAATGTTTTTAATTTGAATGTAGTTGATAAACAATGTTATATTAGTCTCAGGTGTACAACATAGTGACTCACCATCTCTGTGCCATGCTCACAAGCAGAGCCTTCTTTATATAGGCTTCTTAACGGTAATATTTGAGCAGATAATCTATTATTATGGTTGGAAAAAGGCTAAAATGTATACAGCGAAAAGCCTTTCGCGCCTCTGTCACCGTAATTATTGATTCCTTACATTTTCTTCTGATGCATCTAACCAATATGAATATACAGATTTTTTAAATGTTTTTTATTTCTTATCCCTGCTCCCTTACCCACAAAAGCTGTTATGAATATAGCGTTTGACACTCTGTTTTGGAAGAGATCGTATCCGTTTTCAGTTTGGAGTATTAGAGCTTCTTTATTTCTTTTTGTTGTTGTTGCATATGTTTCCATTGCTGGATAGTTTATTTAACCAGCCCTGTATTTTGTGGGTATTGGAATTCCCTGTTTCTATAAATAACCTTATATATGTGGTCTTTTAATTCTTTGCAAGTAACTCTGTTCAGTAAATTTCCAGAAACAGAATTTCCGAGCCAAAGGATACATTAATGTGTGATTTTTCCCAGGTACTGCCTAGTTACCCTCCATCGGGGTGTACCTTTGTCCTTTCAGCCTTGTCAGCAGAAAGTATTATTCAGCTTCCGGGTATTTGCTCATCTAATAGGTAGAAAATGGTAAATTTTATAAAGCACTTCCTTCAGCCAGACCCATGCTCCCCCAGCCTGTGTTTAGGACCTTCTTGTCTACTCCTGGGTGCCCCCATCCTCTTGGTTCAGGCCTTTACACAGTTCCCAGCTGGTGTAGGAATAACACCAGATTGGGTGCTGGTGTGGGCTGGCTTGTGGTGGGAGTTTCCAGCTCAGTTCTGCCACTTGTAAGTTCAGTAAGGGCTGTCAAACCGCTTACTCTTTGAAGTTGTTTCTGCATCTTTAAAATGGAGAATCCACAGGAAGCCTGGGTGGCTCAGTCATTAAGCTTCTGCCTTTGGCTCAGGTTGTGATCTCGGGGTCCTGGGATCAAGTCCCGCATTGGGCTTTTTGCTTAGTGGGGAGCCTGCTTCTGCCTCTGCCTGTTGCTCCCCCTGCTTTTGCGTGCGCTCTCTCTCTCTCTGACAAATAAATAGATAAATCTTAAAATGGAGACTCCCTGATTGGGCTGTCAGAGAATCAGATCAGATGCCTGGGAATGAATTGCATGCATAACAGCAACCGGTAGACCCCTGACGTGACTTCTGAGCAGATTGGATAGAACTTTCAAACGTCAAATGGAAATATTTAGATAGAACATGCTGAAAAGGAGCAGTCCCCACCTGTCTGCTAGACCAGTGGCGTGACTTGGGTTTGTTCACCTGTCTGAGCCCCTTCGTTCTCTCTCTCCTCCCACAGGTCAGCCATGTGTCTTTGTCATGTGTCTTGCTTTTATCTTTCATGAGTCTTGTGATTGGAAAATTCCAGCTGCAGGTCATTGAATCAGTGATTGTCCACCCTGTGTGGGAAGTGTCCTGGGCGTTATGGGAGAACTCGGGGAGAGGGTCAGGACATACAGGCCAGCGCTGGGCAGTGGTGTGAGAAACCAGCACACACTGGAAGCACACACACAGAAGCACAAACACACATCAGCACCATCGCTTTGAGAGCTGGGCTTGAAGGGAGTCTTTGCACATCTCCGGATACCAGCTCTTCTTAAAGCGTATGTCTTTTTTTTTTTTTTTTTTTAAGATTTTATTTATTTATTTGACAGAGAGATCACAACTAGGCAGAGAGGCAGGCAGAGAGAGAGAGAGAGAGGAGGAAGCAGGCTCCCTGTTGAGCGGAGAGCCAGATGCGGGACTTGATTCCAGGACCCTGAGATCATGACCTGAGCCAAGGCAGAGGCTTATCCCACTGAGCCACCCAGGCGCCCTAGAGGGTATGTCTTAAGAGTAAAGACTCCCACCGACATTTAAGAGTTCACTTATTTTTATTATGTTACTTAAATATTTATAACTTAAAATTAGGCATAAATACCATGGGCTTATAATTCCTGCAACAGTAAAATCAAAACATCGACTAATTAAACATAAACTACAAAACACATAACATTCCAAATGAAATGTATTAATTTAATCTTTCCCAGAAACCAAATTGCAGTTTGCTTTGTGAATAGAGGATTGATGCCACGAATAGCTTCTTTTGTGTTGGTTGGCTCTGAATTACAGTGATCACTGAGAAGCACGACTTACAGTCTAGTGGTTAGGAATGTGGAGTCAGGCACCAGACCGCTGGAGTCTTCCATTAACCAGCTTCACAACCTTTGGCAGTTTATTCAACCTTCCTGACCTTGATGTCCTCATCTGCAAAATGGGCGAAAGAATGCTAGGAAAAATTAATGAGTTAAGGTATGTAGAGTGCTTAGAGCAGTGCCAGACACAGGGTGAGTGCTCGGTAGGTGGTGTCATTGTCATTTTACTACTAGTGTCCCTGTGATGTTGGTTCTCCCATAACTTGTCTCAACCTTCACAGCTGTAAAACCATGGTTAGTGGTATTTATCAAATGTCATTGTCATAAAGCCTTCTCTTGGGGGAAATGATTCTTCGCATATACAGCCCTCCTCCGGGCTTTTATTAGTGTCCCCTGACATCCAGATGGTGCCATGGACCACCACACACCAATCCACAGGAGGAGCACAGGCTCGGAATCTCTTGGCAGGGTTAACTGTAGGAGGCGGTCATCAGATTCTCTGGCCCATGCTTTCTATTTATTTTACACCTACACCTCTATGAACACATGTACACATATGTATATAATACATCTTCTTTTTTCCAGTGTCTTCTAAATGAAAGCACAGAGTTCTAGAATTTTTGAATAGACAGTTTTTTTTAAAAAGTGCCCTGAGCTGGACAGAACAAAAGTGAAAGAACTAGAGTGGTTTTAGTCCAATGTTGCATTTTCTTCAGAGGTTTTGAAAATTTTTCTTTTGCCTTTCCTTTAAAATCTCATCTCTCAAAAAAAGAAAATCTCTAGCACATTTTTGCACTTGACATAAATGTCTCTCTTATTCTCTTTGGGTTCTGACAGCCAGCACTGATTCTGGTGAGGCTCTGTGAACTTGATTTCACCTTGACCTTGGCATCGGTTTGGCAGAAACTCTATTTTATCACACAAGTTCTTATTGTTGGATGGCATTTCTTTATTCCAACACCCAGTCTACTCTGTCATTAAAATTTGTCTTACAGATTAGGATTCATTGATAATTGATAACCATTTTGGTAATGCTAATGAATATTTCCCTAATTCTGCTCCTTTCCTTACATTTTTATATTCGGGTCCATGGAGGCTAAGTAGTCTTACCAGTGATGATAAGAACAGCCACAGTAACAAATTGAGGTTAATATTTATCGTGTACTTGCTTTGTGCTAGACACCCTACTAAGCATTGGACCTATGTTATCTCATGTAGCCTTTAACACACTCATAGCAGGTAGGTACTGTTACCACGCATGTTTTACAGGGAAGGGAATGAAGTCCTTGAACTTTAGGAGCCTATTGGGGGCCACAGCAGTGTGCCAGCCAAAGCCAGGATGCTGGGACCCTGCTCTTGGTCAGTCACCAACCCACCCCTCAGTTCTCCACAAAAAGCTGGCACCTCCCAGGGGCCATTTGCATCCCTAGCTCATCTCAGAAAGTGGCCCCATTCTGTCACAATAATTTGGACACAGCAGTTGGTTAACAAATGTCCCTTCCTTCTCTGCCTGTGGAAACTACCCCTTTGTATCCAGAACCCGTGAGTGCCTCAGTGCCTGCTCGCTGCCAGCTGTTCTGTTGGATTTGGACTCTCACTGGTCTTTTTTCAGAGTGAGGCCAAGAGCAAGAACCAGCAGCCACCTGCCTCCCCCTGTAACTATTCCACCAACACGTTTATACCTTCTTCTCATGGGGAGCCTCCTGGTTTGCTGAGATATGATTCACCTACCATAAAAATCACCATGTTAAAGTGTCCAGTTTGGTGGGTTTTAGTATATTCACAAGGTAGTACAACATCACTACGATATAATTGAAGAACGCCTTCATTATCCTGGAAGGAAACCCCTTTGTGTGGATATACCCATTGTGTGGATATACAGTTTGTTAATCTGTTTATCAGTTAGTGGACATTTGTTTTATTCCTACTTTTTGGCTATTACGAGTAATATTGCATGAACATTCATGTACAACTTTTCTGCGAACACTGTCTTCTAATTCTCTTGGGTATATACCCATGAGTTGAATTGCTGAGTCATATGGTAACTCTGTGTTTTACTTTTTGAGGAACTACCAAACTGTTCTCCACAGAATCTACAGCATTTCACATTTCTACCAGCAGTGTGTAAGAGTTCCATTTCCTCTACATCTTTGCCAACACTTGGTATTCTCTGTCCTTTTTTATTACAGGAATCCTGGTGGGCTTATAGTAGTGTCTTATTACGGTTTTGATTTTTATTTCACTACTATTTAATGATACTCATCATCTTTTCACGTACTTGCTCTAAAGGTACTTGTATGCCTTTATAGATCTGTCTCTGCAAATCCTTTGCCCATTTTTCTTTTTTTTTTATATTTTTTTAATTGTTTATTTGAGAGAGAGAGAGAGAGAGAGCAGAGAACACGAGAGAGAGCAGAGAGCACAAGCAGGGAGGTGGGGGAGGGAGAAGAGGGAAGGATAGAAGAAGACCTCTCCCTGAGCAGGGATCCCGATGCAGGGCTAGATCCCAGGACCCCAGAGCTGAGGGCAAACGCTTAACTGACTGAGCCACCCAAGTGCTCCTTCTTTGCCCATTTTTCAGTTGGACTATTTGTTCTTGTACTATCAAATTAAGAGCTCTGTATGTTCTAGAGACTAGACCTTTTCAGGTATATGATAATACTTGCCTATAAGATATGCAGATATTTTTTCCTATTCTGTGGGTTGTCTTTTTAGTTTCCTGACAGTATCCTTTTGAAGCACAAAAGCTTTTAGTTTTGATGAAGTCCAACTTAACCTGTTTTTTAATTGGGTGCTTATCCATTGAATGTCGTATTATAAGAAGCCACTGCCTGATCCAAAGATTTATACCTATTTCCTTCTAAGAGTTTGATAGTTTTAGCTCTTAACCTTTAGATGTTTGATCCATTTTGAGTTCATTTTTTAAATCATGTGAGAAAGGAGTCCAACTTCATTCTTTTGCATGGGGACTATTCACTTATCCCAGCACCATTTGTTGAAAAGTCTTCTTCCCCCACTGAAATGTCTTGGTTGAAAATCAGTTGCCCGTAAATGCATGGGTTGGTCACCAATCCTGGACTAACTAGCATGTCTTGAAATATTGTTTGGGGTTTTGATGTTGTAAGTAAGAGCAGAGCTCGGCCAAAAGACACCAGGGTAAAAATGTGAGTTCTAAAATCCTCATTTCCCTAAGCCAGCATTAAGGGGAGTTTGACATACCTTCTGACCCAGTCTAAGCCATTAGGGCAGATAGATGCAATCTCTTGGGCCCAGCTAGCTTTGTTGCCATATGAACCTGCATTTGCCCATGACGTACTCTACTGGGTTCATAAGCAGAGGAGGAGACAGCAAAATAGTTTGCTTGAGAAACAGAACTTGGATTCTCAGAAGACCCAGGAGAAGGGGGAGCAGCCGCTAGCCAGTGCTCATTTTAGAAGGCCCAGGAGTATGTTTCCATGTGTATGTGTGCGTGCGTGCGTGTGTACACAAAGGCAGTAGCACTGGCTCCCTGCATTCCCTGTACACCCTTGAGGGGCAGGAAGAGTCAGTCCCACTGGAGGAGCGCACAGCCCGTGTCTGCTTGCGTACACACTCACGCACCTTGTGTACTCTGATCTCCGGCGGTAGGCCCTGGGCACGGCAGGCTTCCTGGACTCCACCTGCAGTCTGGCTCCAAGGCAGCCGGGCCCTCGCACCTCCCCCCCGACCCTGCTGTCCACTTACTGTCCCAGGAACAGAGTGGGTCCTCACTTCCCCTCAGTCTGGGTCCCAGGAGTGGGTTCTGAGTCCCAGCCGGGGAGAAGTTTCGTGAGGCCTGTCAGAGGAGGGCTGTGTGGGAGCAAGGGAGCAATGGACAGTGACGAGAGTGTTGTTTGTTTTGTTTCTGAAATCACAATACAGCAGTTTTCCATTCTTAACCACTGCCCCCTAGCCTTGGGCATTCTCACAGACAACCTGTCACACAGGTTTCTTTGTTTAAAAACTTTTAGGGTGCTGTCGGAATTCAGCAAAGCCCAGGTGAACTCTGTGCCGACCAACGGACTGGGCGGACTCGGTGGAGAAGCAGAAATTCCCACTGGGCGGGCCTCACTCTCCCTCCCTGGCCCGGAGGCCAGCATCCCGTCTGATGGGCCCGCAGAGCCCCTCCCGGCGCAGGCGTCCCCTGTGGCTCCAGATGGGCATCGCAAGCAGGAGCCCCCTGCCTGGGCCCCTGGCGCCCTGGGCCTGCCGCTGTCGGGCACTGCCCAAGCTGTCCCTTTGGGAAGTGCTTTGGGCCAGCAGCCTGGCAGTCCCATGAGAGTGCCGGCCCAAGCGCTGGCCCAGGGGAGTGGCCAGCAGAAGCCCCTGGAGGATGACGGAGCTGCATGGAGCCTTGGGGTGTCCTCACCCACCAGTCCGGTGAGTGGTACAAGCTTTTCAGGGGGTGGTCCTGGGGAACTGTCTGAGAGCTGGTGCAGGGCATCTCGGGCTCGTGACCCCGAGGGGTCTCTGCCTTCTCCGTGTTAGCCCCCATGTCTCTTGGTGGATGTGAGCCAGGCACTGGGCCAGTCCCTTCCCACAGGTGTCTCTTGTCATCTCACATCAACCCCGTGGAGAAGATAATTCTCATCTGACTGTAGACTCTGCTCTTGTTCTTAACCACTGGCACTTATCAGCGTAAGGCCTCAGGCCAGGCGCTTCACCTCACTGGGCCTTGGTTTCCTCCTTAGTACTTGTTATTTTTAAATTCATATCATCTAAAATACCAAACTTTGAGAATATTGAGTCTTGCAACATGAACCACACTTACAACTGCTCTGACCAGTATGGCAGCCATGAGCCACTTAAAATGGCAGCCATGAGCACTTAAAATGTGGCTAGTCCAAACTGAGACAAGCTGTGTAAACACCGCATCTTGAAGACTTAGTATGAAAAAAGGAATGTGAAATATCTCAATAAAGTTTCACTGATTACATGTTAAAATGAAAGTATTTTTGATATGTTGGGTTAACTATATTATCCAAAATTAATTTCACCTGTTTCTTTTTACAATTTAAAAATGTGGCTAGTAGAACATTTTAAAATGACACACAAGACTGGAATTCTATTTCCGTTAGGCAGTGCTGTTCTTATATAAGCCAGTCTACTTTGTGGATAACCCGAGGGAAGCCAGCCCTGGGAATCTTCTGGGCAGAGCCATGGGTCAGAGGCTTGAGAACTGTCATCAAAGCTGTGGACCCAAATTGTTTGGCCATTTTGCATTTGTCTTGTGTCATGAACAGCCTGGGTTGGAAGCTGTACGCCCATGTGCGTGTGGACACACAAAGCCCTGAGTTTATCCCAGCTGCTGTCTGGTGTTCGTGTTGGGAGATAGTCTTGCTTTTTCAGCTCCACCCATGTGCATCTTTCATCTGGCCTGTAGCTTCCAGGTCCTATAACTCAGGATGGGGCCAAGGCCATGAAATAGACTAGGAGAGATGCGCACACACACTCTTGTTTTTAACAGCTTTTTTGAGCTATAACTCCTATCATATATAACTAACCTAATTGAAGTGTATAATTCAACTTTTTTCGTATATTTGCAAGGTTGTGCAACTGTCACTACGATCTAACTTGAAAACTTTTTCATCCTGCATCAGAGAAATCCCTTGCCATTAGCAGTGACTCCCCATCCGATTCTCCTCCCCCACCGCCACCCCAACCTCACTCCTCTCATCCCCTGGCAATAGCTAATCTCCTTTGTCTATAGATTTGCTCTTCTGGACATTTCATGTAAATGGAATCATGTAATACGTAATCTTTTTGTGACTGGGTTCTTCCAATTAACGTATTATTTTCAGGATTTTTCCCCTTTGTAGCCTGATCTGTACTTCAGTGAGTAATAATTCATCGTAGATTAGATTCCATTATATGAACACATTACATTTTATTTTGTCCTTCATCAGTTGATAGACATTTGGTTTTTGCCCCATATTTTGGCTATTACAAGTAAAACTGCAGTGAACATTGATGCACAAGTGTTTGTGTGGATATATATTTTTAATTGTCTTGGGTGCATACCAAGCAGTAGAATTTCTGGGTCACATGGTAATTCTGCATTTAACCTTTTGAGGAACTGCCAAATTGTTTTCCAAAGCAGCTCCCCATTTTATATTCCCACCAGCAGTGTTTTCTTCTACATCCTCACCAACAGATCTTATTGTCTCCATAAAAATTGTTATTATAGCTATTCTAGGGGGTAAGGAGTAGTATCTCATTATGAATGTTTTGATTTGCTTTTCTTTAATGACTAATGATGTGGAGTATCCTCTTTCTATGTGCCTTTTGGCCATTTATGTTATCTGCTTTGGAGAAATGTCTATTCAAAACCTTGGCCCATTTTTAAGTAGGATTTTTTTTTTGTCTTTTTATTATTGAATCATAATAGTTCTTTATATATTCTGGATTCTATACCCTTATTGGATACATAATTAGCAACTATTTTCTCCCATCCTGTGAGTTATCTTTTCATTTTCTTGGTGGTATCACAGCATGAATGTTTTTAGTTTTGATATCATCCAATTTATCTGTTTTTTTTCTTTCATCATTTGTGCTTTTGGTGTCATCTCTATACTCATTCCCTAATTCAAGGTCACAAAGATTTACTCTTATCTGTTCTTCTAAAAATTTTATGGTTGTAGCTCTTCTGTTTATATCTATGATCCCTTTTGAGTTGATTTTTGTATATGGTATAAGGATGGGGTCCAAATTGATTCTTCTGCATATGGATAGCCCATTGTACCAACACCATTTGTTAAAAAGACTATAATTTCCCCCTTAGAAAATCCCTGGGTCCTGGGATCGAGCCCCGCATCAGGTTCTCTGCTCAGCGGGGAGCCTGCTTGTCTCTCTCCCTCTGCCTGCCACTCCCCTGCTTGTGCTCACTCTTTCTCTCTCTCTCAAATAAGTAAAATCTTTTTTTAAAATGTTTTAAGTAAATAAATAAATAAATAAATAAATAAATAAAATATAGACGCTTTCCAGCCCACCAGAAGGTTCTCCCATGCCTTCTGCCATTGTTCCCTTCCAAAGGAAGCCTCCATTCTGACTTGTAGCCCCACAGATTCATTTTCCTGTTGTTGAACTTCATTGATATCAGTGAATTTGTACAATATGCACCCTTGCTTCTTTCACTGAGCATTTGTCTGTGAGGTTAACCTGCGCATTTAGCGCGAGGCTATACTCTGTTCTTTGCCGTTGTTCCGTAGTGTTCCCCGGTCAGACTATATCCCAGTGCATCTGCCCGTTCTCCTGCTAACAGACATTTGGGTTGTTTCCGGGTTCTGCCTACTACGATGAAAGCTGCCGTGAACATTCTTGCACTTGCCTTTCAGTGACTCTCTCTACTCATTTCTGTGGGTATATCTAGGAGTGGCATTGCCAGGTCATTGGGCAGGCCCATGTTTACCTTTAGTAGCTACTGCCAAGCATTTTCTAACAGTGCTTGTACAGACTTGTACTCACCCTAGCAATACGTGAGCATTTTTTTTTAAAGATTTTATTTATTTATTTGAGAGATCACAAGTAGGCAGAGAGAGGGTTGCGGGGAGCAGGCTCCCCACCAAGCAGAGAACTCAATGTGGGGCTCAATCCCAGGACCCTGGGATCATGACCTGAGCTGAAAGCAGAAGCTTTAACCCACTGAGCCACCCAGGCGCCCCAATACATGAGCATTTTCATTGCTCTTTATCCTAGCCACGAGTGTCATCAGTCTTATTTTTAGCCACTTTAAAAGGTATGTAGTGGTATCTTACCGTGGTTTTTTTTTAAGATTTTATTTATTTGAGAGAGAGCACATGCACATGTGGAAGGGGGTTGGAGGGGGCAGAGGGAGAGGGAGAAAGTCTTAAGCAGACTCCTCACTGAGCACAGAGCCAGATGCAGGGCTCGATCCCAGGACTCTGAGATCACAACCTGAGCTGAAGCCGAGAGTCGGATGCTTAACCCACTGCACTACCCAGGCGCCCCTCACTGTGGTTTAATTTGCATTTCCCTGATGACCAAAGATTTTGATACCTTCTTGTTTCCTTATTGGCCAGTCCTCTTTTGGAAGTGTTTAAAAAAAAAAAAAAGAATGAAACAATGACTTAAAGATTTTTATTTATTTATTTGACAGAAGTAGGCAGAGAGGCAGGCAGAGAGGGAGAGGAGGAAGCAGGCTCCCCACTGAGCAGAGAGCCCTATGCGGGGCTCAATCCCAGGACCCTGGGATCACTACCTGAGCCGAAGGCAGAGGCTTTAATCCACTGAGCCACCCAGATGCCCCAGTCATTGTTTCATTCTTAAATTGAGTTGTGTGTATTTACCTTATTTCTTTGTAGGGACTCTTTATGTACTATGAATAGGTCATTTATTAGAGAAAAAAATATATAGCATAAATACATATAGTAGATGTCTTCTTTGAGTCTCTGGCTTGCCTTTTAAATCTCTTAATGGTATCTTTCATGGAACAGAAGTTCTTGATTTTAATGATCTTCAATTTATCAGTCTCTCTGTGGTTAATATGTTTTGGGTCTTTTTTTAAACTCTTTATCTACCCAAAGCAGTGAGACTGAAAAGCCCTGTATTTTCATCTAGAAACTTTACTGTTTTACCTTTTGCAATTAGGTTTATGATCCCTCTGGGATTAATTTTTGTGTATGGTGTGAGGTAGGAGTCAAAAGTCGTGTTTTTCCATAGGGATAGCTGATGGACTAGCTCCGCTTACTGACTATGACTATGTAAATCATGTCACTGTGTAAGTGAGGGTCACATTCTCCATTTTTACTGTCCTAAGGATTGCCTCAGGGCCCAGAATGTCACAGGACCCTGAAGGTTGAGCAGACAACTTTCATCACTCTGAAGGGTGAAGGAGAATACCTCTGCAGCCCGTACCTTGAGCTGGCAGCAGAGGGCTCTCCCTAGGGTCTGTGGCTGTGTGCCCCCGCAGGGCTCCACGGGGTGGCATTGACCGAGTTGAGTTCACTCCAGTCTTAACATCGGCTCAGACATCCTGTCTTGCCAGGATCCCAGAGCTGATGGGACAGGGCAGCTTGTCACCCATGCTCCTCTGCTCATGGAGTGTTGATGCTCTGGCCTCCTTGCAGCTCCTGTCAAAACAAGCTCCTTCCAGCCCCAGGCTTTTCCATTTGCTGCCGGGACCTTTTCCCAGCTCGCTCCTTTTCCTCGCCTTTATCTCCACCTTTCTTGATGGTGCTCAAAAGCACCATCCCCAGGGACTCCCTTTCCCATTTACCTGCTTTACTTTGTTTATAACACGCATCACTGTGTGAAATCATATTGTCTCTCGATCTGTCTACTTGTTTGTTTTCTGCCCTGGGACTCGCATATCAGCTCTCTGATATAAAACAACGTGTCTGCTCCCCTCTGTAATGTCAGCT